AAGCAGTGGTATCAACGCAGAGTACTATAGGGAGAAGAATAAGCAAGAAAAATGATGAAGGAATGAAGAAATATTAAAGTAACGCAATCATAGGACTGAGAGATGCCGTTCCCGCGCTTATCGATTGACTGGGGCGCACTTTCCTTCTTAAAAAGCTAGGCGCTGATGCGATTTAGGGCTCTAGCAAAGACAAAAGGAGGAGTTTCGGAACCAAAATCTCACCATGTAGTAGAGTTTGGGTGTACACTTTATGTAAAAATTTTGAAAAACTTTTGTGAATTGAAAGTTTTGCCTACCTCAGGTGGGCATTAGGTGGGCAATTGCCCACCTAATTTGGAAAATAGTTGGGCACGCTCTTCATCCACATAAGTTTTTCATAATTCTACATTAATACATTGCTCCTACTGCGCGTATACACACAAAGTCTCGCGCGATTTCGTTTTCTCTGCGCTGCAAACGAGCCATTTTCCATTTTCTTGATAGTGGGAAATTTTCAGAAAAAAGCCTGCCGCAACCTTCAGTCACATAATTTTTCAATGAAACTTTTAAGTCAAGTCCCGCAGGCCCGTGTTCATGAACATACCAAGTTTCATACCGCAAGGTCGTCTGTGCGCTGCAAACGAGCCATTTGAATTCACATCTTCATTTACCAGTTTTGCAAAATTTTTGGAAAAAATGCTTATTACACCTCCCATTCACGTAAGTTTTTCATAATATTTTCATACTTTGTTTCTACTAAAGTCTCTTCGTTCGCTCACGGAATTTGGTGCTATATCGTTATGCCTGCATTGAGAACTGATCATGTAATCATGCTGCTCAACGGCATCGCTTATGCGACGTCGCGCACGCGAGCTCTACTGTGCGTTGAGGCTTATGAAAACTACTTCCCAATGCATTATATGTATAAGGTAATAAGCATGATTCGACCTTCTCTTGTTTGCACTTGGAATCTTTTCCGGGGCTCCGCTCCGGACCAAGCAAAAACGATCTCTCCTTTACTTTTTCCACCAAAAACATTTCCAGCTTGTCATTTGCCCACCTCGTGCCGGGCCGTGCACCCAGTGTCACCCCATGCCTTAATGAGGCGGCCGACCATTGTGGTTGAAATTATTCTTATCTAAAAAAATTACTCTAATGCTTTGTTCATGAAAATGTTGCATTGTTTATGAAATTGGTTTGAAACAAATTGCAAAAAAAAAGAAAACAGAAACGAGACAAAATGCAAAAATTAATGAAAGTGAAATTTGGAAAAAAACAACGTTGTCCTCGAGCTGACTATTTGTCAATGTCCACTGCTTCTTCAACCGCTAAGCGGTTTGCATACATCGCTGAGCCAAGAGGACACACTACCACAGATGACAAGAGTTCTTCCGCATTTTGTCAAAGCAAATATCGTCATAAACAATAGGACGCGACAATAATCACTAGTTTTTTCTTAATGTCATTGTTATCTTGAATTTGTTGACTTGACTGTTGGTGTGATGTTGTTGTTAACTTCGTGATCTACAAAAAAAAGGCGGCGCGGAGGAACGGCATTCCGAGGAAAATATTTGTCAAGTCGGCAGGTCTTGAATCCGTTCATGAGGAACACTGGTATAGCGGCAAGCGTGCGATATGCGGTGGGGCGTATAGAAGCTGCCTGAAATCAAGAAAGAGGCTCGCGTCTTCATTCTTCATTTCCCGACGCGAGTCGGTCCTCTAAGCTTCCTCTTCTTTATGTATATCCCCTCTGATTCTGAAGCAAGTGTGGAAATAGATAGCGGCTGCCGAAAAGGGAAAGGGAGTGGAAGTAGGCACCTAGTATTGTCCCAAGTTGAGAGAAGTAATAGAAGTTGTTAAGTGGGAATGGAAGGAAAGGAGAATGCTAGAATTAGGCGACGTTCGCTGCAAGTAAAAGTTACGGTTTTGTTGTGTATCGCATGGATATTTGAACCGCAAGCGCGATTCAAAGTTGTATTGCAATGTAGTAGTCATAAGCGTCTGAAAGAAAATGAAAAATCGTGTAGAATGCGACCAAAATCTTCTGTAGATCTTTTCTGCGAATGTGGTGCTCGAAAAAAGCGTATCTACTTTCGGCACGACCCAACATTTGGGAAGCCTCTTGATAGAAATCGACTCTGCTTTTCAAGCTCCGGTCTTTACGTGAGAACTTGGACAGCATGCTCATTTAGTGCCATCGCCCAGATTTTCGGGAATAATAATATTTGGTTGTTACTCATTTGTGAGCAAGCATTTCTCGCCGAGACACTAACCTTTACGATTGAGTCAGCAAATTGCGATACGTTCGAGGCGGTGGTCTCACACGCAGCAACTTCAGCTTTTTCAGTCTGAACCGGAAAAAACATGAGTACTCCCGAGAACAACAAACAATCGTTATCTAAAGCAGACAGCTTTATAAGGCGTGAGACAACCCTCGTTTTTGTGTTGGGAAGATGACATCTTACGGAATATTTGCTCTATTCTTCACCATTGGAGTCACAGCTGCCATTAATTGTTACAGCGGTAAGTCGCAACTTGTATGTTAGTGAAAGTTTTCGGATTGGACAAAAAGGACACGTCTGCTCGACGGCACGCCATCGAGACTACCTTATGCTCTGCACCTACCACGCCAGGACAGTCTCCACAAACGCCGACCTCCAAGCTCTTCTTGACGCTGCAGAGCACATCAAGTACCACATCATCGCTCTGCAAAAAACGAAGTCCAGGAAGAAGGACGTGCGACATATGAAAGATGGGACCCTCATCATTCGTGGTGAAAAGGTTCCCACGAAAGGTTGGAGGCGTTGGCTTTGTCGTTCACTTAACTATCGTCCATCTTGTCGATTTGCATGAGATCCTGTTACCTCGCCTGGCCATCCGACTACGACCTCCACGTCAGAAGATCATCAGCATCATTAACTGTTACTCAACAACATCAGCAGCTGACGACTCAGAATTAGCTGCTTTCTACGAAGACGTGGAGCAGGTCGTCCGCAACGAGAAGGTTTTCTACAAGTTCGTTGTGGGCGACTTCAACGCGAAGATCGGGATGCCACTGGATGAGGAATATAGGATCGGGAAGTTTGGATATAGGCTCCGGAACAAAAACGGCAACCGTTTCGTTGGGCTTCTCTCTGCCGCACAACTTTTCCATAAACATTCCATCTTCATGAAGAAAGAACATTGCCGGTAGACATGGGAATCGCCCAACGGAACGATTCACGCGGAGATCGACCACATTCTCAACAATCGAGGGTGGAGCCTGCTCGATGTCTCAGTAGTTCCATCCTTCTGCAGTGGCTCCGATCACCGCCTACTTCGAGCGAAGATACGATTCAGTCAAAGGCTGAAAAAAAGTCTGTCACAGTGCCGCGAGAAGGAAAGAAGGGTAACAGGCTGGAAGAGCTCATATCAAGTTTTGACTGGCTTATCGAGGAGGACCCAACGTACAACTACGACCGGCTTGTGAAGGGATTGCGAACCTGTGGAGAGTGCGTTTCAGTGGCTACTGAGAAGAACTTGGAACGCATTTCGAAGACCACCAAGGAATTGCTCGAAAGAAGAAGATTTCTGAGGCAGAACCGAATGCAACCCATCTCGAGCGACTGATAGCCGACGCCAGTTGCAGAACAGCTTTGCAGGAGGATTTTACGAGTACAGGCAGGGCAAGCCAAGATACTGGGAGCAGCCGAAAAGACGAAGTCTTAGGAAGTGCCGAATGGATTTCCGTGAATGTTGCGTACCGCTGGCTGCACTATTAAACGAAGACGGGACTCCGACTTCTTCCCGATAGAAGATGGAATCGACCGCGAAGAACTTCTACACCAACCTCTTCTGCTCATCAACACCCGTGCCGATGCCCGTTGTTCCCACTGGAGAAGTACCACCACGAATTCTACCTGCTAAGTGCGCACGGCGATTCAGACCATGAAGACACCCACGGCTCCAGAACGAGACCAATTTTCCGTCGAATTTCCACGAGCCGGAGGACAACGTCTACACGAGATCCTCGCGTCGCACCTGACATCTTACCTTCAGAAGGAGAGGATTCCCGACCAGGAACGTCAGGGACCGTCCTTCTCTTCAAAAAGGGCGAACGGGAGGATCTTCGGAACTACCGTCCAATATGCCTGCTGGGTGTGCTGTAGAAGCTTTTCACG